TTTTCTTTTTTTTACCTAGGTCCTTGGTGGTGATGTAAATATGAAGAAAGACAATAAGCAGACTTAATGGCCCTTATTCACCTTTCTTTCTGGAAATGCACAATAAGGGAAAAGTAGCAGATACAATTCTGGGCTCTATTAACAGAAGTGTAGTCTCCAGATGCCTCTTGTCTTAAAAAGCAGAGTTAAAGCTCTGGTTTCCCCAGTAGTGATGTATGGAAGTGAGAGCTGGACCATAAAGAAGGCTGATCGCCAAAGAATGGATGCTTTTGAATTCTGGGTGCTGGAGGAGACTCTTGAGAGTCCCATGGACTGCAAGAAGATAAAACCTCTCCATTCTGAAGGAAATCAGCCCTGAGTGCTCACTGGAAGGACAGATTGTGAAGCTGAGGCTCCAATCCTTTGGCAGCCTCACGAGAAGAGAAGACTCCCTGGAAAAGACCCTGATGTTGGGAAAGATGGAGGGCACAAGGAGAAGGGGACGACAGAGGATGAGATGGTGGGACAGTGTTCTTGAAGCTACCAGCATGAGTTTGACCAAACTGCGGGAGGCAGTGGAAGATAGAAGTGCCTGGCGTGCTCTGGTCCAGGGGGGCACGAAGAGGCGGCAGTACAAGCCATTCAGATGATATTGCTATGGAAAGGGGAGGGTTCTCCTTTGCCAGAGTTTTTTCAGCAGAGGCTGGATTCCCCCTGGTCAGGGATGCTGATGCACTTGGTGAAGATTTGACGTTTTCATCCCCCAAATTTTTTTGATTTGAGGCTGCATTTTAATGTTGTACTTAATCTTGTTTTTAAGTTGTATGGTAATCAATTGTTTTTACCTGGTGTTAGCCGCCCTGAGCCCGGTTTTGGCTGGGGAGGGCGGGGGTATAAATAATAATAATAATAATAATAATAATAATAATAATAATAATAATTACTTCTTGCTTTGGCAGGAGTTAAGACTTGATCTGTGATGTCTCTTCTGAGGCAATACAGTGGTACCTCGTGTTACATATGCTTCAGGTTACATACGCTTCAGGTTACAGACTCCGCTAATCCCAGAAGAATTACCTCTGGTTAAGAACTTTGCTTCAGGATGAGAACAGAAATCGCGCTCCGGTGGCACAGCGGCGGTGGGAGGCCCCATTAGCTAAAGTGGTGCTTCAGGTTAAGAACACTTTCAGGTTAAGAACGGACCTCCGGAACGAATTAAGTACTTAACCCGAGGTATCACTGTATAGCAATTATTAGTTTCTTTAAACCCATTTCACAGCTATGTAAAGTGATGGCTGCAAATTCCATTGATTCCTTAGATGTGAAGAAGTGTTTCTATCTGTCCTGGATAGTTATTAGGGCCCGCTGTGGCTTTTGTATTTTTCTTTTTACTGTTTTGTACCACATTTTTCCTAGAAGCCTCAGGTCCTCGGCAGCTGTAAACAATCGCAGCTTCTTTTGAGGTTGATGTGACCATGACTGGTGTAAATTTCCAAGTTTGGGACGCCTCAAAATATCCTCAGTACAGTGGTGCCCCGCAAGACGAATGCCTCGCAAGACGGAAAACCCGCTAGACGAAAGGGTTTTCCGTTTTGGAGGTGCTTCGCAAAAAGAATTTCCTATGGGCTTGCTTCGCAAGACGAAAATGTCTTGCGAGTTCCTGCAGGGTTTTTCTCCCCCCCCCCCTTTTTCCCAAGCCGCTAAGCTGCTTATCAGCTGATCCGCTAAGCCGCTTATCAGCTTATCCGCTAAGCCGCTAATAGCGCTAAGCCGCTAATGGGCTTGCTTCGCAAGACGAAAAAACCGCAAGACGAAGAGAATCGCGGAACGGATTCTTTTCGTCTTGCGAGGCACCACTGTATTCCCAGTTGTGCCCTCCAGGTGGCAGAGCTGCCTGCCAGCACTGAAGCCTCACGAGCTTTCGAATTTGCAGGCCAGTGATGGGTGCTGTTGGGTGTCATGTCCCAAAATGGTGCTTCCCTCTTCGGCTCTCTGCCTTCACAGTGGACTCCAGTCCAGGAATGGGGACCCTCTGACCCTCCAGATGTTTGCTGGACCCTGCCCCTCACCAGCCCCAAAACATCTGGAGGCCTGGGGAAGGTCAAGAGCAGGGATGGAGGACCCTTTGACCTTCCAGATATTTGCAAGTATGGGTGGCATAACTGTCAACGTTTCCCTTTTTTTAAGCGAAATTCCCTTATTCCGAGTAGGATTCCTCAGAAGAAAAGGGAAAGTTTCACAGCTATGATGGATGGGTGCAGGGCCGGATTTAGGTTTGATGAGGCCCTAAGCTACTGAAGGTAATGATATGTCCAGCTGTCCTTTGTCAACAACAAATTGTCGCTGTTTTTTGTGTTGAATATATGCTATATGGTAAGTTATGGACCTAATAGGTATCTAAAGCCATTTGCACATAGGTATTTTATCAAAGTAATTGTTGAACTGAAATACAATTAAGAAGGAAGTATATTAATAGTGAAATATAATTAAGAAGTATATTAATAGTGAAATAATCATTCTTTCTTCTTTGGCGATCCCTCATAGCCGAGTAAGATTGTCTTCCATAAACATGGTTTTAACAGTGAGTCCATAAGTGACTGTGGAGGCCAGTTCTGGATCCACACGTCCTTCCACAGTCGGGACATAGGTTTCCGGGCAGGAGTTGATCACAGTGTGGATTTGCCAAGCGTACCTTCCTCTTAGCACGTTTCTCCCTTGCGTCCTGAGTTCGAGTGCCTTCAAAGCCCACGACACCTTTGGAAAAGGCTGTTCTCCAACTGGAGCGCTCGCAGGCCAGTGTTTCCCAGTGTTTATACTACATTTTTAAAGATTTGCCTTGAAACAGTCTTTAAACCTCTCTTGTTGACCACCAGCATTACGCTTTCCATTTTTAAGCTATTAAGGAGCCTACACAACACCACCACAACAACAACAACAACCACAACCACAATAATAATACTTTCATTATTTATACCCTGCCCATCTGGCTGAGTTTCCCCAGCCACTTTGGGTGGCTTCCAACTGAATATTAAAAACAATATAGCATTAAATATTAAAAACTTCCCTAAACAGGGCTGCCTTCAGATGTCTTTTAAAAATAGGATAGCTGCTAATTTCCTTGACATCTGATGGGAGGGCGTTCTTACCAACAATTCCAGTTGGCTTGAAATAGTTAACAGTAGTCTCTGTTCAAAAATGCCCGTGTCACGAAGAGCTCTCCAAACCATTGGGTTTATACTACCCCAGCATCATATTCCAGGTGGCTGGTGTGTTTGTGTGTGTGTGTGTGTTTCCTATTTTTTTTTGCTTTGAAACCCTGTAATCTAAAGAAGAATTCTGTATCACTCTCTTCTAGCATTTTGAATATTATGGGTGCAAATAAATGTATCATTTCAGTTGCTCTACATCTAAAAACAAATTTCAAGGTTATATTGAAATACACTGTTGCTGTATGTAGGTTTTATTTCATTTGTTTTTTATCTTACATTCTGGAAATGTACATCTAGTTGTTTTTTTCCTTTAAAATTTTGGGGTGCCCCAAGACGGAATTAAGATTGCCAGAAGAAATATCAACAACCTCAGATATGCAGATGACACAACCTTGATGGCAGAAAGTGAGGAGGAATTAAAGAACCTTTTAATGAGGGTGAAAGAGGAGAGCACAAAATATGGTCTGAAGCTCAACATCAAAAAAACTAAGATCACGGCCACTGGGCCCATCACCTCCTGGCAAATAGAAGAAATGGAGGCAGTGAGAGATTTTACTTTCTTGGGCTCCATGATCACTGCAGATGGTGACAGCAGTCGTGAAATTAAAAGGCGCCTGCTTCTTGGGAGAAAAGCAATGACAAACCTAGACAGCATCTTAAGAAGCGGAGACATCACCTTGTCCATATACAGTGGTGCCCCGCAAGACAAATGCCTCGCAAGACAGAAAACCCGCTAGACGAAAGGGTTTCCCGTTTCTGAGTTGCTTCGCAAGACGATTTTCCCTATGGGCTTGCTTCGCAAGACGAAACGTCTTGCTAGTCTTGCGATTCCCCCCCCGCTTACCCCCCCTTTTTCTAAGCCGCTAAGAGCCTTTTAGCAGCTTAGCCGCTAATCCTTTAATAGCCGCTAAACCGCTAATAGCGCTAATCCGCTTAGCCGCTAATAGGGTTGCTTCGCAAGACGAAAAAACCGCTAGACGAAGAGAATCGCGGAACGGATTCTTTTTGTCTTGCGAGGCACCACTGTAGTTAAAGCTATGGTTTTCCCAGTAGTGATGTATGGAAGTGAGAGCTGGACCATAAAGAAGGCTGATCGCCAAAGAATGGATGCTTTTGAATTCTGGTGCTGGAGGAGACTCTTGAGAGTCCCATGGACTGCAAGAAGAACAAACCTCTCCATTCTGAAGGAAATCAGCTCACTGGAAGGACAGATCGTGAAGCTGAGGCTCCAAGACTTTGGCCACCTCATGAGAAGAGAAGACTCCCTGGAAAAGACCCTGATGTTGGGAAAGATGGAGGGCGCAAGGAGAAGGGGACGACAGAGGACGAGACGGTTGGATAGTGTTCTCGAAGCTACCAGCATGAGTTTGACCAAACTGCGGGAGGCAGTGGAAGATAGGGGTGCCTGGTGTGCTCTGGTCCAGGGGGTCACGAAGAGGCAGACACGACTAAATGACAACATCATCATCTTATACTTTGGAAATGTTCATTCAGTGTTTTTTTCCTTTAAACTTTTGGGGTGCCCCAAGAGAGTGGGGACCTAAGCTATAGCTTGTTCAGCTTATACGTAAATCCGGCACTGGGTGGGTGTCTGCATCCAGCAAACATCTGGAGGGCCAGAGAGCCTCCCATCATTGGTCCTGTCCTCTCCCAGCCTCCAGGGGTTTGGGACTCCAACTCCCATCAGCCCCTGCCAGCTCCGTGGGCGGAGCCAGGCATTGCCATAGAGAGAACGCGACTTCCGCCCGCGGCCATGTTTCTCCCTGGCGGTCGCCCTCCCGCCTCAGGGCGTCGCCAGTACTTGGGCCCGCTTCCGCTTCCGGCCCGACTTCCTGGAAGGTTGGCATTTAAAGCCCCGCTGCCCGTGCGGGGAGGCTGCGATTCAGCTGCGCGACGTCGCCTGCGGCTGAAGGAGTCGCCTTTGCGGAGGCAGCCCTCGCCCTTCCCTCGCCCAGCCTCGCCCGCTTCGTCAAAGCCAAGCTCCTCCAGCAGAAATTGCCGAAGAAAATCGGATGCAAAGAGAGTTTTCCTCTCTTGGCGCGCTGCAACAGCCATTTTTTATTTTCCAATAAGCCTTTGCAAGCATTTATTAGCAAAAAAAAACCTATTTATTTTATTTTTTGCATTTTATTTTATTTTATTTTTTGCATTTCATTTCATTATTTTTTTTTTGCATTTCATTTCATTTTTTATTTTTTGCATTAGCCCTTCAAAAGCAATTTTTCGTGTGCTTGCATTTCTATTTTATTTTTTGCAATAGCCCTTCAAAAGCAATTTTTTTGGGCTTGCATTTTTATTTTTTGCAGCCGGTAGCAGGACAGCGTGGGCACATCTTTTCCTGCAAGGGATCTGGAGATCTTGCCATCCCCTCCTGGTGCCTTTCCCCCCCTTCCTCTACCTCCCCACCTTATATTCAGGGCCCGATTTTTTATTTTTCATTTTGCGAGCGAGCGATTCCCTTTCACAGGCGGCTCCGTCCGCATATCTTCGTCTCTCCTTCCATTCATCGGCGAGCAGATTCCCTCCCGGAGCCCAGGATCCCCTCCTCGGCCCCGATTCCTTGACCCACCTCCGTTTGCAAGATGTTCAGCTGGCTGGGCAACGACGACCGGCGGAGGAAAGACCCCGAGGTGTTCCAGACGGTGAGCGAGGGGCTGAAGAAACTCTACAAAACCAAACTTCTCCCTCTGGAAGAATACTACAAATTCCACGAGTTTCATTCGCCCGCCTTGGAAGATGCCGACTTTGACAACAAGCCCATGGTCCTCCTCGTGGGACAGTATTCCACCGGCAAGACCACCTTCATAAGGTAAAAACTGCTGGGTCTTTCTTTTTAATATTTTCAAAGATCTTTATTGAAAATTAACAAATGTACATAATAACCAAAATTCCCAAGGATTCCCTCGCATGAAATAGAATATCTAAATTACAACAGCTGCATAATTATAATTATAAAACCCACCACCCACCCTCCACAGCAATTCGACTTCTTTATATTTCTTTCTACCTTTCCCCCCCTTGCATTCTATAATGAAATATTTTTGTTAAATTCTGATTTTTCCTTCCTTCTTTCTTTCTTTCTTTCTTTTGTCATTGCTTACATTTTTTATTCCAAGCCTGTCAACATGTCATTTTTAGAAAAAATAAATTGACATATAATCTTCGAAAGACTTCCACTCCATTCTTAACTTTTGTTTTGATTGATATATTACAATTTTGCCAATTCTATATACTCACTTAATTTACAAATCCACTCTTCGTTTGTTGGTAATGTCCTGAGATTTCCATTTAGTAGCAATCACTACCCTGGCAGCTGTTGTTGCATATAAGAAGATTGTTTTTTCATATGTGGTATGTCAATTGCTGGGTCTTTTTTTATTCTTCTTATTTATTCGATTTCTAAATGTTTGTTTTATTAATTTTTTTTAATAAAATCACATATACGCTCCCAAACATAATGACACCTCATGGTGTTTTTAATTTCTCCCCCTGTCTTCTCCCTCTTATATCGTAACAACTATGCAATAATCTCTAATGCTTTCTGTGGCTCATCATTCAAATTCTGCTCTCAAATACATCATACTATAACATTTCTTTAAATGTTCCGAAAAAGGCTTCCGTTCTTCCACAAGACATCATTTGGTTATCTTTATTTTTGTTGTTAGCGTGGCCAATTCTGCATAGACCAGGGTAGGCAACCTAAGACCTGGGGGCCGGATCCAGCCCAATCGCCTTCTCAATCCGGCCCACGGACGGTCCGGGAACCAGTGTGTTTTTACATGAGTAGAGTGTGTGCTTTTATTTAAAATGCATCTCTGGGTTATTTGTGGGGCATAGGAATTCCTTCATTCCCCCCCCAAATATAGTTAGGGCCCCCCACATGATCTGAGGGATGGTGGACCGGCCCACAGCTGTAAAAGGTAGCTTGACCCCTGGCATAGACCATCATTGTACTAATTCAATTTATATACAGTGGTAACTCGGGTTGCATATGCTTCAGGTTACATATGCTTCAGGTTACAGACTCCGCTAACCCAGAAATAGTACCTCGGGTTAAGAACTTTGCTTCAGGATGAGAACAGAAATTGTGCTCCGGTGGCACGGCAGCAGCAGGAGGCCCCAGTAGCTAAAGTGGTGCTTCAGGCTAAGAACAGTTTCAGGTTAAGAACGGACCTCCGGAACGAATTAAGCACTTAACCCGAGGTACCACTGTACTGTCCTTTTATCTGAAGATCCCACGGCGGTGTACAACATGAAAAGCATAATTTAAACAGCATAATAAAAAAGACCATAAAAACAGAACGTGCATAGCATAATAGAAGACCATAAAGCAGTCGCCAAAAAAATCAAAATGACAGCCCCCCCCCCCCCCACATTGCATAGAATCATGGCGTTCGAAGAGACCACCAAGCGTCATCTAGTCCAAAAGCTATAGATTATTTAATGGCCAAAGGTGAAGATATAGATGAATGCTTTTGCCTGGTGAGCCTCTCGGGCGAGCCTCTCTGGGAAGAGCGTTGCACAGGCAGGGAGCCACCACCAAAAAGGCCCTTTCTCGTGTTGTCACCCACCAAACCTCTTGGGGATAAGGGGACACAGGGAAGGGTATCGGATGACACATGCAGGGTCCGGGTTGGTTCGTATGGGGAGAGGCAGTCTTTATACAATAATAATAATAATAATAATAATAATAATATTTATACCCCGCCCATCTGGCTGGGTTTCCCCAGCCACTCCGGGCGGCTTCCAACTGAATATTAAGGACAATACGCCATCAAACATTAAAAACTTCCCTAAACAGGGCTGCCTTCAGATGTCATCTAAAAGTCAAATAGTTGCTTATTTGGGAGGGCGTTCCACAGGGCAGGTGCCACCACCGAGAAGTCCCTCTGCCTGGTTCCCTGTAACCTCACTTCTCGCAATGAGGGAACCTCCAAAAGGCCCTTGGAGCTGGACCTCAGCGTCCGGTCAGAACGATGGGGGTGGAGACACTCCTTCAGATATACTGGGCCGAGGCCGTTTAGGGCTTTAAAGGTCAGCGCCAACACTTTGAATTGTGCTTGGAAACGTACTGGGAGCCAATGAAGATCTTTCTGGTGGGGGGAATAAATTATTGCTCGGCCGTATTTGGCAGGAGGGGTGTGTGCCTGCATGAAAACTGCCCTGGTGGGTGCATATTTCAGTTCAGAGTACGATGGTTGTAAGGTGCTTCTGGGCTTTTTGTAGTGGGAAAGAGGATATAAATTTAATACACCTAATCTCTCTAGTTCCTTTTTGTGCTCTCCTCTGCTGACTTAGATTTTGGAGTGTGTAGACCAGGGGTCTGCAACCCGCGGCTCCGGAGCCGCATGTGGCTCTTTTACATCTTTGCCGTGGCTCTGGGGCGGATACTAGCGAGGGGAGGAGGCGCATTGTGCGCCCCGACACTCCTCACTGTGGCGGGCGCTGTACTGGCTGTGACGTCGCATGGGGGCGGTGGGTGCATTAGTCACGCACCGTCCCGACATCACCTTCCCGCCCGCTGTCAGATCGCGGCTCCGGAGATATATTTGTTTTAAATGTCGCAATGGTTTTGCGGCTCCCAGTTGTTGTTTTTTCTTCGGAAACGGGTCCAAGTGGCTCTTTTTGTCTTAAAGGTTGCAGACCCCTGGTGTAGACTTTCAGCTTGTGCTTTTGTATCCAGTGATTTCTTTCCCAAAATGCTGTCTTTCTTGCCGGTTGGACCAGCCTCTTAAACAGCTGCCTGGTATAACACAAGGCAGATCTACACCTTGTATTTAAAGCACCTTCAATGCACATATAAAGTACCGTATTTTGCGCCCCATGGGACGCACCGGCCTGTAGGACACACCTAGTTTTTTGGGGGGTAAATAAAGGAAAAAAAAATTATTTCCCCCCCAGGTGCGGGGCTGGAAGAACCAGGTCGGGGAACAGCGGGAAGGCGCGCTCCGCCTCCCCGCTTTCCCCCGAGCTTGTGGGGCTAGCGATAGGGAGAAGCGCTGCTTTCCCCACCGCCAGCCTCCAAACCAGGTCGGGGAACAGCGGGAAGGTGCGCTCCGCCTCCCCACTGTCCCCCGAGCTTGTGGGGCTGGTGATGGAGAGAAGTGTGCTGAGCCCAGGACTGCAGGCAGCTCTGCGCAACCCTCGGGAGACCGGCGCCGGTCTCCTGAGGGTTGCGCAGAGCTTCCTGAAGCCTGCATTCGCCCCATAGGACGCACACACATTTCCCCTTCATTTTCGGAGGGGAAAAAGTGCGTCCTATAGGGCGAAAAATACGGTACATGTCATTGCCCAACGAATCCTGGGAATTGTAGTTTCTCACTCCAGAGCTACAATTCCCAACACCCGTATCAAACCACAATTCCCAGGACTATTTGGGGGCAAGCCATGTGCTATGAAGGTGCTTTAAACGTATGTTTTGGATCTGCCTGTGGAAGGCTGGGTGTGATACCAAGTGCATGAATTACCGTATTTTTTGCTCCGCAAGACACACTTTTTTTCTCCTAAAAAGTAAGGGGAAATGTCTGTGCGTCTTATGGAGTGAATGCATGGTCCCTGGAGCCGAATTGCCCAGGGGCGAAAAGCAGATCATGCCTCTTTTTTTTTTAGAAAGAGGGAAGGGGGTGTTGAAACAAAGCCGCTGATTGGCAAGCAATCGGGGAGGGAGATAAGGGACTCTAGAGATAAAGGAGGCTGCCTGGGAGTGGGGAGGTAAAAGCCCATGGATCCTCAGGATTTTTGCACTGGGTCACCCCAAATTCACCATCAGATCACATAGCATGACCAAGGCTATAGCCTGCATCAAAAAATCACGCATCCACTGTTTCGTGGGGCCGCAATGGCGCAAAAACGTGGTTACAAAGCACGGATCCACATGGATTCCCATGATTTTTGCATTGGGCTACCCCAAACCCACCGTCAAATCACATATGTCTGTAGCCACAGCATGAACCACAAAAATCATACATCCACTGTTTTGTTCAGAATTCCCCCTCCCCCTTTTCTCCTCCTCTAAAAACTAGGTGCGTCTTATGGTCAGGTGCGTCAAAAATACGGTAATTTGTGCTGGCTATCAGAACATTGGCAACCATACCGGAAAATAATTTGCCATGATTCTTTTCTGGGGGAAACTGTGCTCTTGGCCTTTGTATAAAATCCCATGTAGAAAAATTGCGAGATCACTGGAGCCTGTGAAAACCTTTGTGGTGAAAATTAGCATGAATGGGCACGTATGACATACCAAGACCATCGTTTGCTGACCTTTTAAAAAACTGGCAAAATATTATGGGAATCCTGAAGAAGAAGAAAATCCAGGAGGGTTAGTCTGTTGCAGGAGAAATAACAAAGCAACTTGTGGCATCTTGAAGACTCCCAGATTTTATTATGGAGTAAACTTTAATGATAATCTTTAAGCTGCCACAGCAAGACTGTTTTCCCTAGGAGCAAAGTTTCCGACTGATGGTGTTCAGGGCAAAGGGGGTATCTCATGTTCACACAGCAAGTGGTGTTTACATGAGAGGAGCCTCTGGAATGCTGAGTGCACAGATTCTGAGAAAATTATGGGCTGCTAGTATGCTTAGATCACATCTTCCGTAATTGGAGGATATTTTGGAGGAGAGAGAGAGGGTGGGGGAGAGATTTTAGGTGCCTTAGCTGGGTGCATAGCAATTGTTTGGTGGCCCCTGGAGATTCGAAAAACGCTTTTCAGGCTTCTCTCAAGCGGTACCCATAAACGTGCAGGTGCAGAAGAACAAAGATGGTCCACTTTGAAGAAGTGGAGGCCTAAAAACAGGTTCTGGGCAGTCATTG